ATGTCAGAAGATAAAAATAAATGCTCAACTTGTGGTAAAATCTGCCTGAAGCCCTCGATTCTACTCAAACATATGAGATCTCACACAAACGAACGTCCATACCCATGCGATGACTGTGGCCTCAGCTTCAAAACCAAGAGTAACCTGTATAAACATTGCAAATCTAAGAGCCACATCACCCAGATTGGCTCCAACGGGTCGTCGGCGTCTACCACACCACCAACAACAGCTGCTTCAGCAATTTCAAATTTTTTAAGTCAACTGACAAAATCTGGTTCTTTAGTTTTTAGCGATGAGAATGCAAGTTCGCAGTCCTCCTCACAACATCACAACCAACCCCACAACTACACTGAGTTAGTCAGACCGAACAACAACAACATCCCCACAAATAACAATCCAAGCTCCAATCCTATCCTACAACTTCTACCCAACCAGCCATTTTTTGTGATCAATACTCTACAAGATGGCCAGTTAGTGTTGAAGCCGATTAGTGCAGTAGAAGGAAGTGGGGGCCAGCAGCTGTTGATGCCATCTTCACTTACTAACTTCCTAACCATGCCTAATCCATATGGTGGTACTGGGGGTGGTGATGACGGTGGTGGTGCTGATGGTGGGGTTTCAAATTTGAACAGGGCCATTGAGTCGAATTTGAATCAAAATTCTCTTGCAAATACCTCACCTCGAGTTGTGCAAACTTCTGAATGTGTTGTCGACTTCCAGATGGGAATTTCTCCAGAATCTTCTTCCTTATCATTGCTCAACAACAACAACATCAGTAACATGAATGACATTAGCAACAACATATCCACAAACAACAACAAACTATTGATAAAATCACTCTCCGACAAAACGCCATCCCTTCATTCATCCTCTCCACCGTCGTCCTCTTCAGTCAATCCACTAACAACGAGATCATTCTCCCTGAATTCAGGAACTGCAAATTTGAAATCCCTCTCAAATGAAGACATCCAGCAAAGAATATCCATGCTGATTTCGCAAAACGACTCCATCCTAGACGGACCGAAGATAGAGAAACCAAGAAAGAAAAATAAAAAAATGGCCGAAACAACTCAAGACAGCTGCAACAACAACAGCAATAATTCCAATAACAATATTATAAATTTCACTAATAATAACAACAACAACAATAATAATAGGGATGTGCCCGGATCCAAAAAATCCTACCTTTCCACTAATTCACTAACTACCTCCACTGCCTCATCTACCGTCATCTATCCTCTACTGAGAAACCAGCATTCGGATCCGACCGGAAAGTTCACTCCACCCTTTCAATTATCGCCCATTTATATTAGTAATAACAATAATAACTATAATAATAACTATAATAATAATAACGACAACAACAATAATAATAATAATTGTGATGGTGATGATCTATTCTTGAGGGTGCCCAAAAGTAGGGATGGGTCGAAATTTCAGAAAGTTGAAAAGAGGACATCTCCTAATTCACTCTCTTCTATCTTTCCCAACAACAACAATAATAATAATAACAACAATGATAATAACAATAATAATAATAGTAATAGTTTCAATTATAATAATAACAACAATAACAATAGCGGTAGTAGTAGTAGTTCACCTCAACTTTTTATGCAGCAACAACAGCTGCAGCAGCTACAACAGCAACCACAGCAGCTGCAACAACAACCACAGCAGCTGCTGCAACAACCACAACAGCTGCTGCAGCAACCACAGCAGCTGCAACAACATACAATTCATCAGCAGTTGATTCAGCAACATCAGTTAATATTGTTACAGCAGCAGCAACAACTTCTTCAAAATCAAACTCATTTGAAAAATGATTTACTCTCAAATAGAAATTTATCGAAGAGCAAATCTCTTGGCGATCCGCCGTATTTTAGACACCAGATGTCGTCATCATCGTCACCACCACCACCACCATCATCATCATCATCATTAACAACAATTAATTCACCCATTGTTTTAGCGTCAACGTTGTCCAATAATATTTTACTGTCATCATCATCATCGTTAAGCTACCATGACAACAGTAACAATAATAATAATAACATCATCAACATAAAAGACGCTAAATACATTATCAACAACAGCATCAACAACAACAACAACATCAACAACAACAACAGCAGCAGCAGCAGCAACAACAACATGCAAACATCATATTCAAACGACAAACGAACGACGAACAAGCGGCAAACGTTCGCACACGTTCACAGCGAGGAAATGGTGAACCAACAACAACATCATCATCTTCCGCAACAACATCAACTTCCGTGTAGAATTTTCTCTCTGTCCCAAGAACAATCAGCGGAGATTCTAAACAGATTTTCGCCGTTTAATAAGGGGACCACTGTTTGTTCTATGGTCGATATTTCGTCGCCATCATTATCGTCATCGTCTTTATCTCTATTATCGCCATCATCCTCATCATCATCATCATCATTGTTAGCATCATCATCATCACCACGATCGTCACTGTTGACATCATTATCGTCACCGCATGCGTCATCATTATCATTATCGTCAGACCAAAGACACCAAATCAAAACAGTTGAAAAATCGAAGCGCGGCAGGAAGCAAGGCGCCAAATATAAACCGAAAAATCACTCCACACCGCTCATCCCTAATTCGAATTCAACGATGACGTCAGCGTCGTCAACTTCCGGCTACCAGTCGATCGTCCCCATGATATGCGTGACATCTGTCGAGGATTTCGTAGTGGAATTCGGCAGGAGCGCGAAGTCAGTAGGAAAGGATGGGAGAGAGATTTGTCCGGGCAAGATGGAATTAAAGAAGCACCTACTACTGAAGAGGACCCTTAGCAATGAACCAGTTCCCAATAACGGTAAAAATAATAATAATCATAATAATAATAATAAAACTATTATTATTATTATTATTATTATTATTATTATTATTATTATTTATCGTATGACATTTACTGTGACAGGAACAAGCTATGATGCTAATTAAATATATTTCACCGTTCTGCACTTAACTTCACAGTGAGCAAAATGGTCTTAACCTTTAATATTATTTTATACAATTTTTAAAAAATTTTTATCATTGCGCATTATTTAATTAACATTAACTTATATATATATATATATTTTTATCATTGTCTGTTTTTTTATGGTGAAAAAAATAAAAGATGTTCCCATTATTATTATTATTATTATTAATGATGAAACGCAATGGCACTTGATTCGCGATTACATTCAAATCATGATGAAAGGAATAAGCCATAGGAAATTGCTACCGTGGAAATATGCTTCTTGTATTTTATTTTCTCCCAACGATGCCAGCCGTGGTCCTCTTATTTATTGGCATACACGGCCAAGATATGGCCGAAGTCCTGAGAACTAATTGAATTTCATGCTCGGGTCCTTCCTCTCTAGCTATACCTACTTGACAAGATCTGGCGTTGAAGGGATTAATTAAGAAGGCAGCTGAATGACGAATCCGAATGTTGAATGTTGAAAAAAAACGAATTTTGAGACAGATTTTAGAAGTATCTCAAATTTAGGAATAAATTTCCAATTAGGTAGCAAAACTTTTACCTACAAAATAATACACACAGACACTCACACACAGACACTCACACACACACACACAGACACACACAGACACTTAGGCACACAGACACTCACTCACACGCACACACACACGCACGCACGCACACAATGAAGAAACTTAAATGGTATCACGTCTTTAGATTCAGTAGTAGTATTCGTTACGAAAAAACATGCTTGAAAATTACAGAGCGTTTGACAGTAGAAGCCAACGCGTTCGAAATTAACCTCTGAACTATGCAATTTATTATGGATATTATTATTTATGTATATATTAATTAAATTATTAAAGTAAGACAAATAATATATATGATAGTGATAATAATATTAATATTAATAATAATTTTTTTTAATTTATTTCTTTTATTTGACAACAGCCGTACCAGCAAATTATAATAATAACAACAAAAATAATAACAACAACAACAATAATAATAATAATGTTGTCGTGGCTGTGGCCAGTAGCTCAACATTTCTGGGAGCACCGACTTCAATTTTTCATCCCACTCTCCACCAACTTCCGCCAACGTCAGCAATGACGTCACCAACAACAACAACAATTGCGTCATCGTATCAGCTTTATCATAATTTTTCGATCCTTCCATCTGCAGATACAACGACTGTTGCTGCTCCACAGAATGATCAACAACTACAACATCCACAACAACAACGTCTAAAACAACATTTACAACAACATCTACAACAACAACAACAACATCTACAACAACAACAACATCTACAACAACAACAACACCAACAAAAACAGCATCAACAACAACAACAGTTTAACATTAATCTATATCAACTGCACCAACAACAACAACAAAATCAATCACAACAACAACAACAATCGCAACAACAGCAGCACAATCACCCACAACAACAAAATCAACCACAACAACAACAAAACCACCCACAACAACAAAATCAACCATCACAGCAACAAAATCATCAACCACAACAACAAAATCAACCACCACAACAACAAAATCAACCATCACAGCAACAAAATCATCAACCACAACAACAAAATCAACCAGCACCACAACAACAAAATCACCCGCGACTGCAGCATCAACAAATCCACTCCCAGCAGACCTCACCTCATCCACAAAAACCCGACTCCTCCATGCCAATCAAAAAACGCCGGAAAACCCTAACAGAATTGGGGAGAGGGACGATCTTTGGTACCACGGTAGACGACAATATAGACCTACTAAACAAGGTAAACACGAGGATCAATGAGACCAAACCGCTGTGGTCTTCGGACGACAGCTTCAATCGGCGAACCTTCATCCTCCAGGATGGAGGAAACTTCGTCTCCAACGATGATGCTGATAACAACAGCAGCAGCAGCAGCAACAACAACAGCAATAACAACAACATCAGCATCAACAACAACAACATCAACAACAACAACATCAACAACCACAACAACAACAACAACAACAGCATCAACAACAACCATAACATCAACAACAACATCAACAACAATAATACTAATAATGACATGAACAGAATAGCGTTAACCAGTAATTCCGATACATTCCAGATTTA